TGGTGCTCGTGGGCTGGAGTGCTGGTGGGGGCAGCACTGCCCCGTGACCTGTGCCTGTGCAGAGTCTGGGCTCTGTCTCACTTGCTGATGTCCCTACAGGCCCTGCCCAGGCTGAGGCTGCTGTGCCACCTCCCAGGGCACCCCCGAGCCCGTGCTGCTCTGGACCCATGGCTTCCCAGTCCCTGTGTCTTTCGTGCTCTGGGAAGGAGAAATCTGTTTGTCCCCACACTGGCCCCATTCTCTGTAACCATCAGCTCTTTCCCATTTTCTCATTCATTTTCCCTGGAACTTAGCTGCCGGTCCTGGGAGACTGTGGCTCAGACACCAGGCTGTTTGATGTGTCAATCTTGGGAGTCGGGTGACAGCCATGGTGCTCACAGCTCTTTGGTGTGGTGGCCGAGCTCCGGGTGACAGGGGCCAGCCAGCAGCTGAGGTGTAGATGGGGTCATAAATCTCTGCTTGTTGCCTGTAAGTGACAGCTGGGTCCGGGTGAGCCTCTGGCCGGGCGACTTCTCGACCCTGGGACCTTCTTAAGGAGCTGTGACAGCATCCACTCTCCGGGGACTCACAGAGGCTGGTGCCCAAGGCTTGGTGTGGCGGACCTGAGTGAGGACAAAGGGGACAGCCGAGCCCGGGTGCCTGGCGCTGTGCCCTGCACCTTCCGTTCCTGTGCGTCCCGTCCTGCCTGGTGTGCAGGAGGCCGAGTGGATGTGGGGCCTGGGCAGAGCACACTGCAGGCTCTGCAGACCTGGGAGCCCCACAACGCAGCCCCAGGGTGGGTGAGGAGGCAGCCGGGCCGGCCCCTCCCCAGGGTGCTCATCTGACCCCGAGGGGCTGAGGAGCCTGCATAGCCCCAGCCGTGCAGACTTATAAACGGGGAGGACACCCTGGCTCAGATGTGAAAACAGGGCTCTGTTAGCCCAAAGTTTGGAACCATTTTGCTCTGAGGTTCTATGGCCCCAACTGCAGAATGGAATCTAAAACCAGTGCCCTTTGCACATCCAAAACCTTGGGAAGCTACAGCTCTGGGTGAGACAGTTGCTGTGTGGCGTCTGTGGGACATGTCCCTCCCAAGCCTGGGTCCCCGTGTCCCTGAAGGTGAACACATCTGGACTGATGTCGCCAGGCTGGCTGCTTTCACCTGGCACCAGCACAAGGCCTGGTTCCTTCCTCCCGGGCTGTCTCTGGGGGACCGGGATTGCTGTGTCCTTCTGTGTATGGGCGCCCAGGTTAATGACAGTGAAACTAAAATGAGCTAGGCCAGAACACGTGAGCTCTGTGGACTTGGGGACTTGGAGCTGGCTCAGCTCTTCGAGGAAGCAGTGTGGGCACCTCCCCTGGGCCCTGTGTGGGTGACATACAGTGGCTTAAGTTGCTGGGGTCCCTATGAGTGCTGGGGGGGGGGCATTCCTCACAGCAAGGGGTCAGCTTGGGCCAGGTGCAGAGGGCAGGTGAGCTGGGGTAGCTGAGTGAGCTTCATGGTGGGGAGCGCATAGGACTGCACACTTTCTGTAGTATTTGCCTTTGAAGGCCACAGTCTCTGCTGTGACTTTGGAGTCTGCTATTGAGCAGATGCGGCTCAGGCCCATGGGTGGTCGGGTATTAGGGCCGTGTGGCAATAAAACTTTATTTAGAGAGCACGGAGCAGGTTGGACTTGGCCTGCAGCCTGACTCAAGGATTACTGGTTCAGTGATGCGGTGGTTTAATTGTGAGGTGGAACAGCCTCACGGTGTCTGGGTGAATCTCCTGGTTTTGTTCACAACAGCAGCTTCCTGCCCGTGCGGCCTCGCAGTTTGCATTCGCCTACCAGGCGCATTGTGAGCTTGACCCTGTCCTGGGACGTCTCAGGGACTGTCCTGCCAGCACCGTGCTTCCTCAGCCTGACCCTGATGCCAGACAGGGGCCTGGGGATTTGGGGGGGCGTGTGTAATGTGTGGGCACATGTGTTTTTCTCTTAGCAACAAGGCAGAGAGCGTCTTCGTGTTTCTTTGTTGGGCAAAGTCCGAAGGAGGGCAGGTAGGGGACAAGGGGGCTGTGGTGTCAGAGAGCCACGTTTTGCCTTTTGTCCAGGGGTCCCCGGAGCCACGTGTGTCCCCACATTCTCTGCAGCCGGATGCTGCTGTCAGCTCCCTTCAGAAGCCCCAGGCCTCGCTGGAGATGGCCAGAGCCAGTGTGACACAGCCTGGCCCTGCCACTCCTGCTGCTGCTGCTTCTTCCCTGCCTCCACCGGGGCGGGGATAGCCTTGCTCACCTGTGTTCCCGGGGCGCCGTCAAGCACATCCGCTGATAATTAAACTGGCACTAGCAGCTGTGGTGCGCGGCCATGCCAGGGGCTCTTTGAGGAGCACTTTGTAGGGGCTTCCGTAGTAGTGGGGGGTGGCAGAAGGGGTGGCAGCGTCCTTGGGAAGGGCTGGCAGACAGTTGAATTGAGGAGTGGGGCAGGAGACCCCAGAGGCCACACCCAGGGGCCACTGTGCAGCCAGGGCAGGACCCACAGGTCATGACGTGGGCTGCTGAAGGGACCCCACGCCTACCGCATGTCTTGCCTGTGACCCTTGCTCCTCCATCTGCCCCCAAAGGGGTCCACGTACCCATGGAGTGACTGGCTGCCCAGCCTTGAGTTGGATGGTGCGGCCCGGGCTGGCCCTCTGTCCTTGTCCGCATGGCTCTGGGAGGGAATCTGGGAGCATGAACCATGGTGGCTGAGCACTGGGTACCATGTGGTGGCATTTGACCCTGGGGTGTACTCAGACCTGTGAGGTGGGGGTGCTCAGCCCCCCTTTCCCTGTTGGTGCCCAATTTTTCCATCAGATGCTAATGATGCAGCCGCACCCTCGAGAGCTGCTCCATCTGTGTCTCGGGTGCTGATGGGGGACAATGGCGGGGGGATGGGTGGGGCTGCCGGCCTCGGTAATGGAGATGCGAGTGCCAGAGGGTTGGGGCCAGTGGATTGGGCAGGGAAGGGATGGGGGCGCGTAATGGAAACAAATAGCCCAGTTTGCTCGCTGCTCTCTCTTCCTCTGTGGCTGCCAGCTCAGCAGCCACCCTGAGATTTCTGCAGTGAGGCTCCCGCCACCCTGACCCCCCTCAGGTAGCCCTGCAGCAAGGGGGCAGCTGGACCTGTTCCTTGTGTCTCCTGGGCTTAGACCGAGAGGCATGGTGGCAGCTGTGGCAGTTGGCAGCAAGATGTCTCTGCTCTGCTTGGCATTTCTTTCTCCCACGCTGCCTGGTTGGGGTCTGCAGCCTAGGGAATGACTCTCGTGTCCCAGGCCACGAGGCTGGGCCTTCCTCCCAGACCCACTGGGCCTCCCATGCTCGTGTTGCCCACATCCCTGCCAAGCCCCTGGAGACGTTCCTGCTGGAGTACCAGGGCCCACCACACTGTAGGTGCCTGCCACTCCAGGACCTGTCACTGCAGTACCTGCCACTCCAGTACCTGCCACTGCAGTGGGCTTGTGCCAATCCCCCATCTTGGCTGGTGCCATTGGCACAGCAGGGACGTGAGGGACAGGGCCAGCTTGGCCAGCACAACCCACGATGCGCTCTGCAAAGCATGTCCCCTCCACGGGCACACACAGGTGCTCTTTGTAATTAGGCAAGGAAAAGCAATTGCAGAGCCGCTCAATACAAATCCCTTAAGCCGCCCTGGCTGGAGATGCAGGGGAGGCCTGGCCCGGCCAGGAGCTGGAACCACGGGCACCACCTGTACTTCGCCGCTCCGCAGCCAAATTCCACCACCGGCCTCACTGAACGTTGTCGTTCTATGAAGCCAATTTGCAGGAGCTGTGTGCCATAAGTGTCCCCTCCCCTCAGTGTGGTCACCATGCATGGGTGGCCATGGGCCGGGGGTGTAGAGATTCTCACGTGCAGCACTGGCTTGGGGCTGGGAAGTTTTGGTGTCCTCAGAGCGAGAGCAGGGCAGGTGGGAGGCCTGTCAGGGCCAGGGACTGGACCATCACATTCAGGTCCTTTCCCCTCCCTCTGCCTCCATGGACTCCGCAGGGCTAGCGAAATGGTCCTGACACAGGAGAGTAGTAGCTGTTTGACTTCTCAGGGAGGCAGAGTTCCAAGGCAAGGGCTGGAAGTCGGGCTGCCATCGAGTGCCCCGCATTTGTCCCCCATGAGACCAGGGCTGGGGCAGTGTGGCTGCTGGGCGGCCCCCACATCCTCTGTGCCCTCCCTCCTTGAGCATCCACATGTTTTGAGCCCCAGGGCCAGACTGAGAGGTCGGGTCGGACCTGGGTCCCCCCGAGGCTGAAAACACATACGATTTGGCCTGTTGTTGATGCAGCTTGCCAGTTCCTGCCTGAGACCGGGGTCCCCTCATTGTCCCCTCGTCTTTAGTGCTACAGTCCTAGGCAGGGTCCCAGCTCTGCAGAGGTGGGCAGTGCTGCTTGGACATTGGGGTCACACACTCAGTAGCCCGACTTCCCTGCCCCCCAAGTCCCTGAAGCATTGAGTGTCACCAGGTTGCCTGCGGTGCTCATTGTGGAGGCTGAACCCCTGAGAGCAGAGCCCTGGGGGAGGTTGGGAGTGTGAGAGCCATCTGCCGCTGTCACCTGAGTTTGCCTGTGCTTGGGGATATCCTGCCCAGGGCAGCACTTGCCGAGTCCCACAGGAAACTGGCCATGCTGGCCGCCCCCAGCAGTGGCATATTGCACCCCTGTGAAGCTGTGTGGCCCTCGCTCCGGGGCCTCCGCTTCCTCCCTCAGCTTTGCCACGTGGTGGCCCTCATATGAGGCCAGTGTCACCCTGGCCGGGGCCCACCAGGAGGGCGGCCCGCCCCTTCCAGTGCCGTGTTGTGTGTCTGCTCGTCTCTTCTCTTTGTGTTTGGGGAGCTGCCAGCTGTCACCCCCTACCTTTCATGTCCTGACTCTCTCCAGGTAGGTCTGTCCCTGGGGCTGCACCTCTAAAGGACAGGGTGACATCTGAGCTGGGGGAGGCCGATGGTGGCAGAGCCAGTGCTCCCAGGCGGCGCCTCAGGTGTGTGTCCCCACAGTGCACGTGCCGCAAGGACATGGTGAAGATCTCCATGGACGTGTTCGTGCGCATCCTGCAGCCCGAGCGCTACGAGCTGTGGAAGCAGGGGAAGGACCTCCCGGTGCTGGACCACACTCGGCCCACGGCCCTCAGCAGCCCCGAGCTCAGCTCCTGGAGTGCCTCTCGGGCCTCACTCAAGGCCAAGCTGCTGCGCAGGTGGGTGCACACCCAGCACATGCACAGACCCCCCACCCTGGCCTACAGCGGGGCCAGGTAGGCTGCCCTGCCAGTCCCCCTCCTCCTGCCCTCCCTTCCTCCTCTTCCTCCCTCCGTTTCTGTCTGTGTCTTCCTGTCTGAACCAAAGTGAGCCTGTTACCAGGTAGTTCCTTCAGAAATGCCTGGCCGAGGCCGGGCGTGGTGGCACACGCCTGTAGTCCCAGCCCTTAGGAGGCTGAGGCAGGAGGATCGCCCCAAGTTCAAGGCCACACTGGGCTACACAGTGAGACTGTGTCTCAAAAAAAAAAAAAAAAAGCCTTGCCAATCAAAAGAATTCCAGGTCTTTTGTCTCAAACAAAGAATAGGATGAGACAAGCCAAAATGGTGCCAAAAGTTTATTTGAAAAATGAGGGGTGAATGGGTATGGGAGAAACCAGCTCTGCAGAGCAAACTTGGGCTGAACAAGAAAAGAGGAGATAAAAGCAAAAATAAAAGTACACACTGCACTGTGTGCACTGTGAAAGTGCAGTGTGGGTTATCGTGGGAAGTCAGGATAGTGGCTCCCTGTGGTGTCCGGTTTTCTTTATGCTGCCCACAGCTTGTGGGAGCTGTTGGGAAGTTCTATATATGTGTCCTGCTGTTGCCCTGGGATCTTGCCATCCACAAGTCCTGCTCATTTTCTCAGCCAGCTCTGCCATCCCCTACTCCTATATCAGACCCCCAGGCCTGTGGTCCCGAGGCTGGCAAGGCCATTGGGGCAGGCCGTGGTTGTGTCCCTCCTGCCCTGCCTCCTCAGCAGAGCCCTGAGAGTCCCTGGCCACATGGTTCCCCTCTGGAAGCCCCCGAAGGTCCCTCATTCTTTCTGCTTTTGCCTCTGGAGCAAGAACCTCACTCTTTGCCCTCAAAGCAGCTCGGGACCCCTGTTGGCTCTGAGAGGTTCAGGTGCTGTGCGTGTGTCTTGGGCAGCACTGGGCTACGGGGCTCCTGACCTCTGCCCTGTGGTGCTCACTGTGCTATTGGCATGTGGCTCAGATTTGGGGCCCCCTCCTCAGCATGTCCTTGGACACCCCTGTTCATCCACTGCAAATGCGGGACCCCTCCATCCTGTGGGTCCTTCCAGGCCCACACCGTGATGGCATGGTCATGGTCTCCGTGTGTCCATGGCTGCAGGTGCTGAGGCCAGGAGCAGGTGGCAGGGCTGGTAAGGAAGCTGATGCTGTCCCGAGCAGAGAGGCCCGAGGCTTGGCAAGGGCCCCACACCTCATGGGCACCGGCCCCATGCCCAGGCGGTGGGATCCCTGCTGCTCATGGACTTCTGTCCACCCGGTTTACCCGCATTCACCCAGGGAACACTGTGTGGCTCCTGAGCATGGCCAGGCCAGGAGAGACTCTTGGAGCTCAGCCCATGCTGTCAGACCCGGGTGCCTCCCAGCAGCAGCTCCACGCCCGGGCACAGCTGCCCTCTGGCTTAGCACAGGGGCCCTGGCCCAGTGATGCTTCACGCATGGACCTGGAAGGCGGGCCTCACAATGCAACTGGCTCAGGTTGTGACTCTTTTTCTTTCCAACCACTTAAAGGTGTCAGTGCCGCCACTGGCTATGCCAGTGGCATCTCCACGGAGAGCAGCTCCCTTGCCCAAGCCCAGCTTCTCCAGCCACCCCTAAGGTTGCTGCCAGCCTGAGCTTGTCCCTTGTCCTTTTCCCACTGGTGTTGAGTGGTGCCTGGCAGGGCCCAGCACGTCTCCCCTTGGGCTGCGCTTGGCTTGCTGCCTGTGGCTCAGGAGCACTGTCACACTTTCACAGTCTGTTCTGGCCTGGCGGGCAGTGTGGCTCAGCTCGCCTCTGGTTTCCTTTGTTGTCTGTGCCTTTGATTCCTTGTGAAAAGCCACTTGCCCAGTGTGGTGGCTCCACCCCGCCCCCAGGCTGGACGGCCATTTACATAATGGTTAATTGATTGTGGCCTGGGCTAATTGGTCAACAGAGCAGACTGCCAGTAAACAGGCGCCACATTCCCGGGCAGAGCAGGATTAGAGCATGTGCAGCTGCCAGAGGAGGCAGTGCCAGGCCTTCTTTGCACAAAAGTGGCCTTTGGACTGGCATCCCTGTTGCCGTGCCACCCCTAGTCCTGAGTCCCATTCCTGTCCCTTTTTGCAGCGTTGTGCCTCCCCCTCACAGCCTTCCCTGGGAGCCATAATAACCCAGCAGCAGGACTGAATAACAAATCAAGTCCTGTTCCCAGGGATGTAATTTTCTTTAAAGCCTTTAGTATGTAAAACAAGGCCAATTCCCTTTTCTTCTTGTGAAGTCTAGGGGCTCTTCTGCAGGAAGGCTGCTGCGTGTCATGTTTAAAAGCCCAGCGGCCTGTGGCTCGGGGCTGCCTGTGGGTAGTGACACTCAGAACTGCCTTTGTGGCCTCTCTGTAGCTGTGACCTGCACCCTAGGTGTGCCCAGCTCTGGCTGGGACCCTGAGCTCCTGAGGCCTCCTGGAGGCTGGGGTGGGGTCGTTGGCACATCCTTGGCTGGGGCCCTCACTATGAGTCAGGGCCTGAGCACACTGAGCTTTCTCTGTGGGTGTCCTGGGCACTGCGGGTGCCGAGTAGCATTCCCAGCCTCCACCCACTCAGGGCCAGGAGCTTCCTGAGTGACAGCCACAGATGTCCCAGACATGGCCCAGTGTCCCCTGGTGAAGATCCCTGCCCTAAACCAAGGGACGGTGTCGGGGGGCCTCCTGGCCCTGTGTGGGTCCCCCTTTGGGTATGGCTGGGCACCGAGCCCCAGGGGCTCATGCAGCTGCAGCACTGAGCCACCCGCACCGAGCGCCGAGGAGACCAAAGGTTCTTCACCTTTCCCTGGGCTGATTTTCCATAACCGAGTCTTACTGGGCGACTCGAACCCCCCGACCCCCCACCCCGTTGGGGACACCTGTGTTTTCCTTGCCACCGTGCCAGGCCGAGCAGCTGTGTGCTGTCTGGTCCCCTTGCAGCCTGTATTGCCTTCTGTCACCTCCCACCTGGCCTTCTTGGGATGTCACACCACATGCACTTTCCCGGTCCCTGGGGAGACAGTGAGGGTGGGCACACCCCACCCTCAGCCTGGCTCCCAGACTGTCCTACTCCCAGCTTCTTCCGGCCACCAGCCAAGTGTGGCCCAGGTGTCCCTGCAGCCCCCCTGGCACCTTCAGCCACCTATGGACACCTCAGACTAGGAAGATGAGGGACAGCCCTTATGCTGCCTATGACCCGGGGGGGGTGCGGCCCCACCTGCACCCTGGCTCGCTGCTCCCACCCCATCTGTGCTGCCTGCAGCCCCCAAAGAATGCATTGCCCAGGCCACAGGGAGCGATGACCTCGTGTCCTAGCTTCTTTCCCCCCAGGACTTGCAGGGGCCCTTGTTCCAGGGGCAGAGGAAAGAGGGTAAGGATCCACTGCCCTGGAGCCATGCACAGCCTGCAGCCCTGGTCACCCGAGTGCTGCTCCTTGGGCTGTGGGCTGTGAGCTCTGGGTTCCTTGGCGATGGGGCTACAGGCCATCCAGCTGAGGACTGGGGATACCTGCTTTTGTCTTGAGCACAGTGGTGTTATCTGGACTTGGTCCCAGCACTTGTATAAATGAACCAAGTGACATCCAGCTCAGCCTGGCAGGTGACACACACTGGTCCCATTCTCTCCAGAAATACTGCTGAGCTGCCACGGGCCACCTCCCAGGACCAGGCACAGGGACAGAAGCAGGTGTGTGGGACCAGAAACTTGGATCCAGAGGAAAGGGGGCGAGCAGTGCCTGGAGTTTGTGCTTGCAGACAGGAAGAGAGGGAGGGATGGACCCACAGGCTGGGCAGGAGCGGTCATGCCAGGGCAGGTCAGGGTGTTTCAGGGTCCTGGCACCTTGCTCAGTGCCCCTGTGCCCACCCTGCTGTCTCCCTGCAGAACATGGGCTGCTCTGTGTCTGATGAGGCTGAGCCTGGGCGACTGGGCAGGAGGGAGGCGTTTTCCTGAAGCCTGGGAAGCCGGGTCCTCTCCCTGGGAATGGGGATGCTGTGGCCATCTCCGGCCGTGGCTCCCTTCAGTGGGCTGCTCACAGGGCCACCGATGAGTATTTCAGTACCTCAAGCAAGAGAATCAGCAGCTGGGATGCTGTGATCTGAGGCAGCTCCAGGGGAAGGCAGAGTGATGCGGAATGCCAAGGTCAGCGAGCACAGGGCACCGAGAAACTTCAGAAACAGCCCCTGAGTGGGAGGTCCCTTTGCATCCACCACAGAAGGGTGTGCTACCAGAAAAGCATGCTGGCCTTTGAGCAATATTAGTAAGGGCAGACCGGGAGATAGGGCTGGGCCCAAGGAGCTGCTTGGACGAAGACAGAAAGACGGAGGTGGGGAGCAGGGAGGCAAGTGTGTCAGGAAGCCTGGCCTCTAGTAGGAGTTTCAGCCAGAGAAAAGAGGGTCTCCAAGCCCAAAGGCTGTAGTTCCATGTCAAAGGTGTGCCACGGCGGGTAAGAGTCCCCATGCTGTGGCTCATCCCCGGGGACTTCCGTCTTGGCGCCCAGCAGGAGACCCCAAAGCTTCCAGCCCAAAGGATGAGGGGCCTGCCGGCCCGGGACTCAGCCTTCTTCCGCTTCGAACTGCAGCAAAGGCACCAGGCCTCGGCCAGCCGGGAAGGAGCAGCCAGACCCCCGCCTTAGCCCCGCAGTGCCCCTGATCCATCTACTTCCTCAGAAGACTCCCGGGGGATGTGCTCCAGCCACACGGAGTGGAAACCATGAGATTCTCTGAGAGAAGGCAGCTCCCAGGGAAGGCGCGTCCGAGGGGCTGGATTCCAGGGAGTACGTGCTGCTTGTCAGAAGTGATCACCATGCAAAGCCAGGGAAGAGACGCAACCGAGAGAAGAGGGGGCAGTGACTGCTCCCAGGGCAAAAGCTTGTGGACGGTGGTAAATGGATGCTAGTGCACACTGGGAGAACCTGGGGGCCAGACAGCCGCACCCTCTGCTTCTGTCCCGGGCAGTGGTGGAGGGACCCAGACACAGAAAATGGAGCTGCAGCCGAGGAAGGTGCCTGCAGGTAAAGAGAAGAAAGAACCGAGCATGGTGGTGCACAGCTGACATCCCAGCACTTGGGAGGCTGAGGCAGGAGGATCTCTGAGTTTGAGGCCAGCACGGGCTGCACAGTAGTTCAAGACCAGCCTGGACTACATAGGAAGACCCTGACACAAACAACAAAAATAAAAACTAGAGAAGCGAGAGAAGACGACCCTGCATCTGGGGAGGGCTGCAGCAGAGGGTTGGCATTTGGACACGGTGACTCCAACCCTGTGGGCACACTGGCCAAGGTCTGTTGCTCTGCATGGTGCAGCTGCTTTCTGTTTACACAGCCAGCTTCGCTGTTCTCAGTGGCCCAAGCCTGGGCCTGGGGCAGGTCTGCCCCAGGGAAGTCCCTGTGTCCTCACTCCCAGGGACCCTGAGCTCACAGCAGGAGCCGCCAGGTGGGCTTTGGGCCCAGGAGGCCCCTAGTCTGCTGCCTGGAAGTGGCCTCCAGGGCCAGCTCCCAGCTGGGAACAGGGAGGGGAGATCAGGGCCTGGAAGAGGTGGCCTTGAGGAGCCGAGGGCAGTTTGGGAAGCAGGCAGGTGAGTGGGCAGGAGGCCACCCTCTGTGGCTGGTGCTGGGCAGAAGGAGGCATCCATGTGATCCTCCGAGCCCTGCAGCCCTGGAGCTTCTGACCTGGAGGAACCTCTGGCAAGGGTGGGCTGGTAATTCCAGGGCTGCTGCCTGAGCCACAGGTGGCGTTGCTGGGAGGGGGCCCCGTCCCCCAGCCATCCCCTCTGTCAGGGCCCCCTGTCCCTCACTGCCACCCCACCTCCCATCTCACCCGCGCACCTGCGTGTGTGACATCCACCATGCCTTTGCCTGTGCCCTTGGAATGCTGCACCTGCTTTCTGCCGCTGGTCATCTTGTGGGGTTCATGCTACTGCCATCAAGTGGATCCCCCTGGGCAGGGACACATCCGAAAGCGCAGGCCACAGGGAGTGGTGACCTAGAGAGGAATAGGAGGGCCTGGCTTGGGCAGTGCCACACAGCCTCCCAGGGCCACTGCAGCTCTGCTGGGCCACCAGAAGGGCCAGGTGGATAACAGTTACGGGGGGAAGAAAGGCCAGCGGGGAGTCGGGCAGTGAAGTCAGGAAGCCCCATGGCCACGCAGGGAGGTGAGGGTGTAATCCACTGCCCCTGTTCCCGCCCTGCCCATCTGGAGCGCTGTCGGGGCCCCTGGCCCAGGCTCACTGCCTCTGCCCTTCTCCCCGTCCCCTCTCTTCACTGAGGCCTCCTTGGGCCTCCTCTGTCCCCGCCTCGAGGTGCGTCCCCGCACCAGGCTGGCCGACCCGGGCTCAGGACCCAGGGAGCTGGGGTCAGGGACAGATGCCTGAGATCAGCATGGGGGGTGACCAGAGTGCTAGAAAAAAACTCCCTGAAATTTACATTCTAGACAAATTAGTCTGAAGGAAAACAGACACTGGAGAAAGGCTGAGGAGGAGAGGAAACCCAGTCTAGAGAGGAGGAAAGAGCAGACCAAAAAGCCGGGGCTGGCGTAAGTGCACCTCCGTCGGTGGCTAGCATTTCACGCGGGCTGCTGTCCATTCGCATCTGCTCCTGTGTGACCCACCGCCCGGCTCCCGGAGCCCGAACTGTCCCGTCATCCACCAGGTGTCCATGGCATCCATCTCAGCTGCCATCAGCACCCGCTTGATACCCCACCCGCTCCCCTGTGTCCTCCTCCAGCCCTGACCAGGGCCCCTCATCCCCAGCCCTGAGGCTGTGCCTGCCGCTGGGTGGAGAGGTGGGCTCCATCCTGCCGGCAGTCCACAGCTGTCCCCTCCATCCCAGTCCTGCCTGACACTCCCCCCCCTCCAGGTCCCACCGGAAGCGCAGCCAGCCCAAGAAGCCCAAGCCAGAAGACCCCAGATGCCCAGGTGAGGGGGCAGCCGGGGTGGCCCTCCTGGAGGAGGTGGCAGGCTGCACCAAGGAGGAGGCCGCACCTGATGCTGACCCTGACGAGGAGGACGAGGAGCCGGCACAGGGCCAGGATGGCGAGGGTGCTGAAGGTGGGTCCCGGCCTCCTTCCCAGCATGTCCCGATGCTCTGTGTCCAGCAGTGGGGGTGGCTGACGGGCTGCAGTGGGGACAGCCTGGCCAGGAGCCTCCCTGGGAGCGGGGACCCCCTCCACAGGGGTGCCCTCCATCTCTAGGGCCCAGGAGCAGTGGCAGTGCCAGAGTGCCACCTGCAGGCTGAGGTTCTCAGCGACACCCCCTGCCAGCCACCCTGTGGTCCCCGAGGGCAAGGGTATTATCCTGTGGGGTTTAAGGTGCCCCCTCTCTGCCATCGATAGCGGTTTCTCCTTCCTGTGCCTGGGCTGTTTCTGGATCTACAGCAGCAGCCACCACACATACTCCCAGTGCTGCCCTGGTAGAAGGGTGGGGACAGGGGAGCCACCAGCTGGGCCCAGAGACTCAGGTGCCTGCAGGGGAGAGCTGGAGCATGAGTGGCTGAGGCACACTGCTCAGATGGGGCCGCTGGCAGGACCTGTCTGGCCAGGACAAAGCAGAGGCCAGCCTGGCCTGTCGCCGCACTGCTAGACACGGACGGTCATCTGTGTAGAAAAAGCATTATGAGTCACAGCTGGTCAGAGACTCGGGGTCCAGCCGGGGTCCTGTGAGTCCCAGAGGGAGCCAGGGAGTGAACTGGGGACCCAGCCTAGGTCCCGGGAGTCGTAGTGGGCCAAGCAACACGGAGTCCAGCAGCGAGTGCCATTCACAGCAGCTGGGCAGCAAGGCCATCGCTGTACCACTCAGCATCTTCAGAGATGGCGCTGGGGATGAGAGCTGCTGCAGGAGCCCTACCTGCAGACGGTCCCTGTGCACGTCACCTGCAGGTTCACTGTGGTTCTCTCTGCTCACTGGGCACCCACGGCCCATCTCAATGCCAATGGCCCAGCCCCAGCGTGGAGAGGTGCAGGGGAGTGATGTGTGACCCCCCACACTGACCACTCTGAACAGTGACCACAGTCCCACGGCTTCACCACACACATTATTCCCTCAAACTTCGGCCTGGTAGGAGACTGACTCGGGCTCCTGGGCTGAGTCCAGGCGCAGGCGGCTGGGCTGCTCCTCCTCAGGCTCTGGGAGAACCTGGTGCCCTCCCGGCTCCTAGAGGCGGCCGCAGCCCTCGGCTCTCAGCCCCGTCCTCCATCTGCAGAGCCGGCAGTGCCATCTTCAGCCTCTCTCGGCCTCTCACGCTCCTGCAACTGCTCAGGGGGACCTGGGGGACGCTGGGCCCCGGTGGTCAGGATGAACCCCTCAGGGTCCGTCACTCAGCCCAGCTGCAGAGTCCTTTCTGCCATGGGAAGTGGCACATTCTCATCCCAGAGATTGGGGTGTGGACATCTTTGGGGGCCGTTACTCTGCTTGCCACCTGGCTTAAGAATTTGCGTCACAAAGACAGAATATTAGGAAGTTGTCATCATGAAATAGAATAAACCCTTAGCACCCTGGGCTGAGGTTGCATTAGTAAGCACACAGCAGAGAGACTGCCCGAGTTTGATCCAGGGGAAGTGAGGGCTCACTGAGGGAGTGGGAGGGGCTGCCTGCAGGCAGGGGTCGCATGTGGCTGCTGGAGAAGCATGGAAAGTGGTCAGAGCCCCTGAGGGAGGAGGCACAGGGTGACAGGTGCGATGGTCAGGCCCCCAGAAGTGTCCCTCATACTTGCCCAGCACCGCAGGGGTGACAGCAGGCAGCCCAAGTGGCAGTGTTGGATACGAATCAGCCCTGCCCCACTGTAGAGTGGCCTCAGCTCCTGCAGGGCCTCTGGGGGCGCGAGCATGGGGAAGGGGCAGGGCAAGGGAGACAGAGGATCCCCTTGCTGCTGTACAGCTGTGAGGAGGGGCACTGACTTGTGCCTGGCAGGCCCTGTGTTGTCACCTCGAGTCCCACCGGCTCCCAGCCGGGATGGGGGTGGCTGTGATGAGCCCCTGTGATGAGGGTAGGGCTGCTCTCTGGTTGTGGGTCCTGGGAGTGAGATCAGGGTGCAGGGGGGAGGTCTCTCGCAGGGACCCTCCCAGTCCGCATGCTGTGAACTCCCCCTTTCACTAGGACCCCATCCTACACCTCGTCCTGACTTCCGCAGTGACGCTGTTTCCAAATGAGGGTGCATGCTGAGTCCTGGGCTAGGACTTCCACGTAGGAGTTTTAGGGACAGGATGCTATCACTGCAGGGATCCCAGTCCTGGCTGCTGTGGTCCAGGGAGGGTGTGGGGTGTTCCTTGTTGCACCAGCATCCTTTGGGCCCTGCATCTACACTGTGAGTTCTCACAAACCCATGCTTCATGGCAGATTCGGGAGGTCCGACATGGGGTTGTGTTGAGTAGATAGGAGTTCTCCTGTCTCCTAAGCACATGTGAGGTAGGGCGAAGATGTGAGGTGAACGGTGACTTGGTGGATGTCCCTGAGGGACTGGTGAAGGGCAGGGAGGGGTGGCGGGGTGAGGAGGACCACGCTGCCCCTGCCGGGCTGGCTGAGGTGGGCATGGCAAGGCTTTCCTGGGCTTCCCTCACTGGCATGGTGCCCTTTGTCCCTTGTGAGCAGGTGGCAGGGGCTGCTGGCTGCAGGCTGACTGAGGACGGTCCCGGCTGGGTGGCTCTGCATGCCCCACTGATTAGTGAGGGAATAATGGCTCTTGTGTAATTAATTGGATTTTATTTTATGAATTGGCCTGGACCATCACCTGTTTGGGCACAGTGTGTCCCCACCCTGTCTCAGGATCCCCCTCCTTGGACCTGGGCTTTGCAGTGGCCTCAGCAGGCTCTGCGAGCCAGAGGATCACATGCAGGCTTCCTGCTGAGGCCCTTCTCCAGATGTCTGTGTTCCCTCCCAGCCCCAGCCACCTGATGGGAGGAACACTGACAAGCATAACCAGAGAATGGTGGCCTGTGGCTCCTCTGGGTGACAGGCAGGGCCACCAGGGACAGGGCCCTAGGGGACAGGGTGGGGTCTCCGCCTCCCAGCCTGGACACCTGTCCCCATGCTGTGGTGAAGGCCCTTTCCTGAGAGGAGAGGATGGAGGACTCAGGAGTCCCCCTGTCCCCGGCCCTTTTCCTGGGACATGACACAGACATGTCCTAGGGTGGACGGCAGAGTACTGGAGCCATTTCTGTCCTTGGCCCCTGGGAGTTGCAGCCGCCAGGGAGCCTTTGCGGGGTGAGGGCCGAGTGTTTAGTGTCATGTTCCCAAATGGAACGCAGCCTCATGCCTCATGGAGAGACTGGATCCTGGGGCTCGCATGGGTCCAGCATGGGCACTGCTGGGACCCCACTGGCAACCTGTAACCCCCAAGCCCACTCAAAGTAGCAGCCCCACCCCTAGCCCAGCATGACCCATAGCCTCCTGTGCCCAGGCCTGACCACTGCAGGAGGGTGGCCTGTGCCCAGCTGCAGAACCCCAGCCCCAGGCTGCCTCCGAGGCTGCTCTCCACCCCACCTCCTGCAGGCCCCATATCCAGAGTGGCCCAATGGGCAGTGATCGGCTTCTGGACCATGACGGCAAAGGCAGGGCCTGTGGGTGTGGTGCACCCAGGGACACCCAGTGCCTGCCGAGGGCCCTGGCTGGGAAGATGGGTGTGGTGGGAGTGACCCTCAGCAGGACCAGAGGGACCCTGTAGGGTGGGACCTGCTGGGCCAGGTCAGCCACAGAAGGAACCCACAGGCATCTCGTGTCCTGGGCGCCTTGGAGGTGGGGCCAGAGCTAGTTTCCTGGGAAATGTGGTGGTTTCCCAGCTGGCAGCCTCGGGCCGGAGTGGGTCTGTGTGGAGTGGTGTTGGTGCCCAGAGCCAGGAAGGCTGCTGAGCTCGACCCCGGGGGACACCGGCTGCGGCTCCCTCCGCTCTGGAGAAAGTCCAGGAGGGGCTGCCTGCCACCTTTCCATTTCTCCTGCCCCGCATTCGGGGTGATGGAGGTCCCAGGTTCTGTGCAGGGACCCACTGGGGTCCTCTGCCCCTCCTGTGAGACCGCCCCCTGGGGCAGGCATGGGGCTTGTAGTGGGAGTGGCAGGGGTCCCCATGGAGAGGCCCGAGGGATACCGGCACCTGGCATGCTGCCACCTTTCCAGGTGTTCCTCCGGGCCTTGGGCTTCTCCCTGCAAGGCGCTCAGGATGTGAGCTGGCCACTTGCTCTGGCTGCTTGGAAATTCAATGGAGGTGGGGTTTGGGGCGTGGGGACCAGGGGCTGAGGGCCAAGGGACAGCCTTTGCTTGGAGTATGTCCCCACCTTGTCTCGGGCCTGCACTGCAGCTGTGGCTGCCTCAAGTTTGTTCCAAGCAGAGCTTGCCTTGCTCACAAAGCAGATGCCCCTGTCCCCGAGGACCTGGCTGCAGGCCTGCGGGCTGTAGCTGCGTGGAAGGTGGGGTTCAGGTGAGAGCAGGGGGACCCCTGCCCCACTTCCTCACCCCAGTGCTGAGCACCACACGGCTGGGTGCTCTGAGGCCGTGTCCTGGGATCCCTCTCCGGGTCCCAAGACCTTGCTGCAGCCCCCCAGGGCAGATCTGCAGGCCCCAAGTGCAGAGTGGCATGGCACAGTGCTCCGGGTGCAGGCCCCAGCTGGCTGGGCATGGGCCCACCTTCCCCTCTGGCCAGCCCTCCCGACAGCCCCAGTGTTTTGGGGCTTCCTGGGATGTGCTTACCAAAGGTATAGGGGTGCAGGAGGAGCAGCCAGGTGGCCCTGTCCCCACTGTGGGCTGTGGGCAGGGAGTCACTGGCGGACACTAACCCACAGGCAGGAGAGGTGGAGGCCCGCAGTGTGGGGGCCTGAAGGGCTTACCTGGGACCTGTGTCAGTGCTGCCTGCCTCGTGCCTAGTGGCAGTCGGTCCCTCCCAACCCCCATGACCCGGACACACGCAGGGAGTGGGTAAACCCAGTGTGGTTGTAGCACAGTGGGTGCCAGGCTGGGTCTCCCAGGCTGGGGGTCTGGGACACCAGGATGCAGCTGGCCACCACCCAGCTGTCCACACACGAGCCACCAGTGCCAAAAACCGAAACCTGGTGGCTCCAGGCAGCACAGATCTGTCACCTCATGTCACCTCACCTCAGGGCTGGCCACCTGGCTCAAGTCAGTGTTGGCAGGGCTGCTCCTCCTAAGGCTCCAGGGAGAACCCAGGTCCCTGTCCCAGCTCCTAGAGACACCCCCAGCCCTCGGCTCATGGCACCATCTCTGCCTCTCTCTGCCTCTCACCCTCCCATGCCCACTTGGGGGGACCCTGGGGACACTGGGCCCGGGTGGCCAGGATGGTCCCCTGGAGGCCCATCACTTATTGCCATGTGCAGAGACTCTTGTCACAGGAGGTGACCTGGCCACAGGAGCCAGGGACCTGGATTTAGACATCTGTGGGGGCATGACTCTGCTGCCCACAGCCCCTGTCTTGCCTTTCTTGATTGACTACTGCACTCCTGTCCTGGCACCAGAGATGCCTCGCCTGCACCCTCCTGTCAGCTGTCAGGGGCTCCAGGCAGGGGCCTGCGTTTGCTAACGTGGAACCCTCACAGTGCAGCTACCCGGGAGAAGCAGGTCCTGTTCGCTGCAGTAACATGTCAGCTTGGTCCTCCGAAGCTGTGGAGGGCAGGAGCCTCTGACCGGGATCTGGTATTTGGGGACAGCTGAGAAGCAGCTACCCTGTGGTGCAGGCAGGGGCTTCTGAGACAGCGTGTGGCCCGGGCTCAGCCTGACCGCCGCCTCTCCCCACAGAGGACAGCAGGGGCAAGCCGCGGCCCGCCAAGCCCAAGGGCGACCGGAAGAAGAAGAGCTACGGGCCCCTCTCCCCGCAGCTACCACCCCAGGCCCTGCCGCCCCCGCCAGTCCTGGTTCCCGCCGAGGAGGCCACGAGGCTGCCACCCCCCCTGGAGCCCCCGACTGCCGAGGAGGGTCCCCCGCCCCCGCCCCTCAATGTGGTACCCCCTGAGGTGCCCAGCGAGGAGCAAGAGGCCAAGCCACGGCCCATCATCCCCATGTTGTACGTGGTGCCCCGGGCTTCTGAGCGCGACCGTGGGCCCCCGCAGGCCGCTCCCATGGAGCTGGCAGGGCCGGAGGACGAGGCCAATGCCCGTGGTGGCGAGGTGCAGGTAGGTGTCCTGTCCCTGCCAGGCCCTCTCCGGCGCCACCGCCCTGTTGCAGCCCTAGCCCGGGCCTCACAGGGTGTGGTCTGTGTCCCAGGTCCCATCCACCTTCTCCAAGCTGAAGATGGAGATCAAGAAGAGCCGGCGACACCCCCTGGGCCGGCCGCCCACCCGGTCCCCACTGTCAGTGGTCAAGCAGGAGGCCTCGAGTGACGAGGGTGAGCGCCCTTCCCTGCCCCGGGCTCTGTGCCTGCTCTGGGCTCTCGTTGGACCCAGGCCTGAAACACCATGGGCACCGTCCCCGGGTGACGCGGTGCTCTCGGCTGTGTGCGGCTGTCAGGACACATGAACACCGGCACTGTGGATGCTGGGCAGGTGTTGGGGGCTGCAGGATAGATAGGGCTGTGGCCTGCCATCCCTGACCTGGGCCCGGGGCACTGCCCTCAGGCTCCCTGGGGGCCTGTGCCCGCCATTGCCCACGGCCTGCAGGCCTGCCAGGCTCCCCGCCGCGTCCTCTCGGCCGGGTCCATTCGGCTGCCCCTCACTGCGTGGATCTGCACCACTGCACACGGTGGGCCCGTGCCAGTGACCCCTGAGCAGCAGCACATGTGGCCACACCTGTTCCAGGCCAGAGCTGGGTACAGTAGAGCTCACAGCCATGGGTGTGTGGTTGCCCTCCTGGCTCTAGCCTCATTCCTATGGAAACAGCCTCACACCTGCCCTGTCCATCAGCAGAAGGAGCCAGCAGCCACCGGTGTCTCCTCATGGCCTCGGGCTGCCCTGAGGTTACACAGGAAAGCTGGCTAGAGGAAAACCTCTGGGGTCACCCTGGGTGGGTGGCCTTGTCGGAGTCACCAAGGCCCATCCTGCCCCCAGTCCACCCTGAGAGAGTGCCGAAACCGGCCACATGGTTTCCACCTGGCTTCAGCCCTCTGCTTGAGACCCTCATATAATCTGAAAACCTCTCAGATGGCACCTTTCGTCCTGGGTCTGGCTGGAGGGCTCGGGAGGAGGGGTTTCTGGAAGTTCCGGGGTGGAGGGTCCAGGCGTGGCCCCAGGGCCACCTCAGAGCCAGGCTCTTTCCAGAAAGCATCTCCAGGGCCGTGAGGGCTGGCAGTGCCCCACCCTGCAGTCCAAGGCAGCCCTGAACGAGGCCCTGTGCCCCAGACCCAGTGCCGTCCTGAGCCCATGGCTCCGCCAGAGCCCCAGGCACAGGTCTTGGCAGGGCATCCTTGCCCTGAAGCATCCTACGTCCTCCTCAGGGTCCCCTCCATTGACCCAGGCCCAGGAACCAGGATGACATGGGGCTGTTTGGAGGAGGGGGAGCCCCAGCAAGGAGAACCCTTCTTGGGGACACCACCCTGAGTCTGCAGGACATGTGGGTGGGGTGTGGGGAGACTGGAACAGCTGGCTGGTAACAGGGACATCTGGGGACAGTGGACAGGAGGGTGTGTGTGAGCTCAGCCTCGGGATTCTCTGGAGGCTGCGGGTCCGGTCTGTGTTCCCTCCCTGGTTCCCACTGTGCCCAGCAGCCCTGTCAGCTCAGGTTGCTCAGGGGTTGCACAGCTGACGCTTGGTCCCCAACGCCAGGAGGGATCTGCAGGGCACGGCGGGGGCCACGAGGGAACAGAAGGTCCCCATGTCTCTGAGTTGCCCGCCAGACCCTGGCCTGGATGCAGGTAGATTCCTGGCTGTGGAGGGTCCTGGGTCCTTGGCCTGCAGGGCCCCAGCCACTCGTCCAGGGAGGCCTGGAGGGCGAGGGGCTTGGCCCATATCGGCACACCCAGCCTCCTGAGGGAAGCAGGTCCTGAGACAGGACCCAGGGCACCACGAGGAGCCCGTGAGCAGTGGGCCCACCTCCGGCAGGGTTTCACTTGCCTGCCTGCCCGCCCTTTCAGAAGCCCTGCCCTTCCCCAGTGGAGAGGAGGACGTGGGTGACCCCGAGGCCCTGCGGCCGCTGCTGTCTCTGCAGTGGAAGAACAAGGCAGCCGGCTTCCAGGCCGAGCGGAGGGCCAACTCAGCAGCCGCGCTCACTGAGCCCTACTGCGCCATCTGCAGCCTCTTCTGCCCCTACAGCCAGGTGGGCACGGGCGCTGGCCTCTCTGTGGAGGTGGGGTGGGGGTGGGCCGAGAGGGGCTGGGGCCTGTGACGCGGGGGGAGCCCGGAGCCATGTCCTGGGCCTTGTGCTTCCCAGACTGGCTCCCTCTGTCCTGTTACCTGGGCTGAGAGTTTGGGCTCTGCTCCCATCTGCCCTCTGCTATCGGCTGCCAGGTTCTGCCCGCTCTTCCTTTTTGGGGGATGGGTACCGGGGATCGAACTCGGGGACCTTGCGGTTGCCAGGCAGGTGGCGGAACCACTGCGCTAGGCCAGGGATTTAGCTACGTGGTGCCTCCGCCTGCCTTGCAACTTCAAGGGCCCGAGTTTGATCTCTGGTACCCCCAGAAAAACTTTTGGAGAACGATCTCACTAGGTTGCCCAGGCTGGGCTCAAGCTTTCCATCCTCCTGCCTCAGCCTCCCAGATACCTGGGGTGACAGGTGTGAGCCACTGTGTGTGGTTTGGCTGCTTTGCCTCTTAATCCTTTGCATCCTCCCCGAGTCTTTGTGCCCCAGGGGCAGAACCACGTGTCATGCTTGTGCCCAGCTCTGAGCCCTGGGAGGCAGTGTGCAGGGATGTGTGCCTTGTGGCTGTCCCCAGGCCCCGGCCCTCTGGAGACAAACCAGTGTGATTTCCAGACCCGCTCTCTCAGCACGCTCGCAACCCTTGGCGCTGCTGGGAGCCCCGCCACAGCCGGTGGGGAGCGTGGTGGCTGCCTTGGGTGGGGTCCAGGCCCAGGTGCTGCTGCTGCTGCTGCTTGGGGACCGGGTCTCCGGTGAGGCCCTGGAGGGCGCAGGGCCTCTGCCCTCACCGAAGGTCCCCTCCCCCGCAGTCCCTGCAGACAGAGAAAGAGGCGCCCCTGGCCTCTGTCACTGAGGGCCCGCCAGCCCCGCCGCCTTCCAGGTGCGGCCTGAAGACGCGGCCCCTCATCCCCGAGATGTGCTTCACCTCCAGCGGGGAGAACACCGAGCCACTGCCTGCCAACTCCTGCGTGGGTGACGATGGCACCAGCCCGCTGATCGCCTGCGCCAAGTGCTGCCTGCAGGTCCATGCCAGTGAGTGCCGGCCGCGAGGCGGGGAGGGGCAGTCTGGTGTCTGTCCCTCGGCAGAGCAAGATGCGGCGGCCTCTGTGTAGGTTCGCCCCGCGCTCTTCCTGCGCGGCCCACGCCTGCCCCCGGCGCTCTCCTGCGCCATGGTGGGTGTGGAGACGTCGCCTTAAATGCCGCCCTGTGGGTCCCAGTGTCCCCGTCTCCCTCTCGCAGGCTGCTACGGCGTGCGCCCCGAGCTGGTCAAAGACGGCTGGACGTGTTCCCGGTGCACGGCCCACGCCTGGACAGCGGTAACTGGCCCTCCGCGCGGGGACGGGGTGGGCCCGGCCTCGGTCTCCCTGCCCGTGCACCCAGGACCAGGACGCGCGGTCGGTCGGCGCGGCCTCACCCGCCTCTCCCCACAGGAGTGCTGCCTGTGCAACCTCCGGGGCGGCGCCCTGCAGACGACCACCGACCGGAGGTGGGTGCGGCGCTGCCCCCCTGGGTGGGTGCTGAGGGAGAGGCGTCTCCTAGAGCCCCGTCCACCTTGCCCGCAGGTGGATCCACGTTATCTGCGCCATCGCCGTCCCCGAGGTGCGGTTCCTGAACGTGATTGAGCGCCACCCCGTGGACATCAGTGGCATCCCCGAGCAGCGGTGGAAACTGGTAGGTCAGAGGCCCGGGCCCATGCTGCGACCCCTCAGCGCGCGGGGCACTTGTCAAGCGTGCTGCGGCCGCGGGGAGCAGGCGTGGGGCCTGTGGTGTTGGCACTGTAGGTTTGGGGCCCTCTCCTCAGGCGCCAGGTACAGGCGTCACGGACACACAGGGTGCGGTCACCAGCGCGTCCCTGCTCAGAGGTGCTCTGTGCGACCCGGGCGAGCACGCACGGCTCCTCACTTGGTTCCACGGGCAGCAGCTCGCTTCACACCGGCTGGTGCATGGCATGACGCCTGCCCCTCCCTGCCTTCTTTGCAGCCCCTGTTCCTGTTTATACCCCTGGCAAAAGACCAGGCAGGGTTTGGCCTTTGTTTGGGTCCTGGGGATGGAGCCCAGGGCCTCCTGCATGGTAGGCAAGCACTCACCACTGAGTGCACCCGGCCCTTGTATTATTTTGAGACAGTTGCCAAGTTGCCCGTCTGGGCTACAACTCAGGATCCTCCTGTCTCGGCCTTGTGAGTAGCTGGAGTGGCAGGCATGTGTCACGGCGCCAGCTAACGTTTTCTTTCTTCTGAGGGCTAATATTCTGCCCTGTGAAGGGACCCTGTCTTCTTTATCCATTCCTCTGTTGATGGGCACTTGGGGAGGTTCGTGAACAGCACCGCAGAGTGCGGCGTGGTGTGCATGGCTCTATGGACTGTGAACTCCTAGCAGAGGAGTCACCGCCACGCACATTTGAGCTTTGGTTTGGTTTTCTGAGACAGCACCAGGGCCTTTCTGTGACGGCTGCGTGGCTCTTGTTCCGGCCTAGCAGGGGTGCCACACCGTCCCTTTGTGGCTTTGATCTGCCCTTCCCTGGTGGTGAGAGGCGCCAAGCCTTCCCACCTTTCTGCCTGCCGCCTGTCCATGCCTCTCTTTGCAGAAATGTCTGTCAGGTCTCTGCTCGCTTTTCGTCGGCTTCCTGGGCTTTGTGCTGCTAAGCTGAAGGCATTGTGTCCCTGGCCCCTTAGGGGTGCACTGAGGCTCCCCCTTAGGAGCCCAGTCCATCCCTGGCAGGCTCCCTCTCCTGTCTCTCTGAGGTCGCCCTGGAGGAGGCCCAGGAGCAGGTCTGAGTTTGGCTGGTGTCTGGCTGTGCGGCTCGGGCTAGCTTCCTAGCCTCTCTGTGCCTCATCTCACAGAGAGCAGTGGCTGCGGCTGCCTGGGCACCTGCCTGCCACGGCCCCTCCCCGGGACGCCACGCCTGTCTGTCCCTGCTTTCCAGCCACACCAGCTGACATGGGAGGCCCTGGAGTGGGGACCACCTGGGTGGGCTGAGCCTGTGGCCACGGGGCCCATTTGCAAGTGTGTGGCTGCCAGCCTGGATGGCACGGCGGGGCAGCTCGGGGCGGCAGCAGCAGGTGGCACCTCCGCGGTGGCAGTGACTCAGTCCACAAACGCAGGCAGGAAGGCCTCTTATTCAGGAGGAGTGATGGAGCAGCGCGGGCGCCAGTGATAAATCCTCCCTCCAGACGCTTTATGGATCTTCTGACATTTCCAGCAAGCAGCCTCTTCATCGCGAGCACTTGTAACGATGAATTAAAAATCCTTTTACACGGGCCCGCGTGTCCTGCCTAATGGGGCCGTGTACCGTGTAGGCAGCGCACTTAACTCCTGCACACCCGGCCTGCTTGTCCCCATCTCCTGGCTCCCTCCAAGGCCTCCGGGGACCATGGCCTGGCCAGGTGTGTGGTGACTGGCTGGGGGGGTCCTGGCCACCAGCACCACGCCCCCAAGAAACAGGAAGTGCAGGCCTGGCTGGGCCCTGGGGGCCAGGTGCAGGGAGCCAGCCGTACCCACTCTGCACAGCCTGCTCCAGTGCGGGGCGGGGTCAGCCTCTGAGGTAGGAAAGGGCTCTCCACTCCGGGGCATGCGCACACGGGCATATGTTCCTCCTGACGCACAGACCCAGCCTAAAGAGCTGCCCCCAGGCCTGGGAGGGACTCCTGTGGTGCCCAGGCACGGTAGCCCCGGGCTTCTCCTGGGCTGTGTCTGGGCCGGCTGGGGCTGGTCTAGGGTGCCATCTGTGCACCAGCGTGGAGCAGGGACCCAGCCTCGAGGCGGAGGCTGCCAGGCCCGCCACACATCAGCACCAGGCCCTGAGCCTGAGAGCTGGGTATTGACAGTTTAATAATGAGATCTCATTGCCATCGATCTGATCCTCGAGTGCTTCGGAGCTGCTGAGCTGCTGCGGCCCGGCCCGGCCCGAGGCTGGTGCTTATCTGGCCTTTGAACATGGTTTGAACAGTGATAAGGGCTGCTTAGTAAACGAGCTCACCTCTGTGAGGCAGCCGCCTAGGCTGTGGCTCCAGGGCCTCCGGGGCACAGAAAGGCCGTGTGGCTCTACTCCAACACTGCCCCATTACCACGGAGGCTGCCCCGCTGCCTTGGCTACAGCTGAGCTGCAGGCCCTGGTTCTGACTCCTCTCCCGGTGCTGAGATGGTCCCAGGCCTCGTGCTGCTGAGGGGCATCCCGGCCCAGTCCGCCCACCTAAAATGCAGGTGTTTAGTGTATTTACAGCTGCAACCTTCACGACTCAATTCAGAACATTCCCTCACCCCAAAGGAAGCCCCATCTGTCCCCATGAGCAGTCCCCCGTCCCTTCCCATCCCCAAGTCCACTTCCTGTCTCTGGAGTTGGCTGTCCTGGGTGTTTCCTGTCCATGGGGCCCATGCTGTCCCGTGTCTGGTGTCTCTCACTGAGTACAGCTTGCTCAGGGTCCCTCCATGCCTTGGCAAGTGTCACAGCCTTGCTCCTGTCCTGGCCAAGTGGTGTCATGTGGCTGACCCTGTGTGCCCCTGTCCAGCCCTCGATGGACACTGCTGCTTTCGCCTTTTGCCTTTGGAGTGCCTCACGTGTTTGCCTCCCTTATTCTGGGGTGCTCCTGGGGCCCCATTTCCCAGCCTACTCATGGGGCAGGCAGATGTAGCGGTGCTGGTGAGACCCTCCCCAGGTCGGCTGGGGGCTTGACGGGGGCAGTTGGCCATCGGTCCTGGGGTACAGTGAGCCCTGTGCCCCCACAGAAGTGTGTGTACTGCCGCAAGCGGATGAAGAGGGTGTCAGGCGCCTGCATCCAGTGCTCCTTCGAGCGCTGCTCCACCTCCTTCCATGTGACGTGTGCGCGGGCTGCGGGGGCGCTGCTGGAGCCCGACGACTGGCCCTATGCCGTGTCCATCACCTGCCTCAAGCACAGGGCGGGTGGCCATGCCGTGAGTGTCCCCATGCCCCATCCTTCCCGCCCTGGCTGCCCCCGCCCCCTCCCCCGCTGACCAGCGCCCTCCCCCCCAGGCCCAGGCCCTCAGGGCCGTGTCCCTAGGCCAGGTCGTCATCACCAAGAACCGCAACGGGCTCTACTACCGCTGCCGCGTCATCGGCACCACCACGCAGATCTTCTATGAGGTGAACTTCGACGACGGTTCCTACAGCGACAACCTGTACCCTGAGAGCATCACGGTGAGTGTGGAGCCCTCCGTCGTGGGAAGGCCGTGGCCCATGGGTGGGGTCTGCGCTGGGGCCCGGGGCGGCTCCTGCAGGGCCAGCCTCTATGGCCAGCATCCTGTATAGACAGCTGGGGCACAGCCCTGCTCCTCTGGTTCCCCGTCCCCTGTGACCAGCGCCTCACCCAGGCCTGCAGGCTGGTGCTGGTGCAGAGTTCACCGATGTCTTCCAGGCCTGGCATCCCTCATGGGCACCCGGACACACAGCCGGGCAGCGCGGCTGGCGCTGCCCGGTGCCCCAGTGTGGCCTGCTCATGTCCCCGCCTTCTGTCTGCAGAGTAGAGACTGCGTGCAGCTGGGGCCCCCACCTGAGGGCGAGCTCGTGGAGCTCCGGTGGACAGACGGCAACATCTATAAGGCCAAGTTCATCTCCTCAGTGACGAGTCACATCTATCAGGTAGGGGCCTTGGCCGTCCTGTGGGCCCAGTGTGTCTGGGAGACCGGGCCGGCTGGAGGAGCACAGGCTGCACTGGCTTGGACGCGGTGGTGGGGTCCTGGCCTGACGTGGCCATCGTTGACATCCCTGTGGGGAAGCCTTGCTCTGGGCAGCATGGAGCCTGGGACCTCGTGCACGCTGAGCATGTGCTGTGCAGCGAACTGGCCCCAGCCCCCTTAGCCTTTGTAAAGCACTCTGTGCCCCAGCTTCTGACTTGAAAGTGTACTTTTAGAGCAAAGTCCCTCACAGTTTAGCAATGAGACACTTGTTGCTGACCCTCGGATATCACACGTGCCCTGTGGTCCCTGTTCACAGAGCGTCCCCAAGGGTGACATCACTGTCCCTGTGTCACCCTCTTCTTGTCCCGGCCCTGGCTTGCTGGGTGGGAACAAGTGACATCAGCCACCCCACGTGTCCCACCCAGCAGGAGGAGGGGGAGGCAGTGAGTGGCCCTTACAGAGGGTCCCAAGGCTGCTGCTGGGAGGAAGCACTGCACCCCGACAGAGCCACCATCCCACGTGGCCCTGTGTGGCCCTCCCTGCTCTGGCCGGCCCCAGCCCCCTCTCTGTTCAGGGCAGGCAGAGGGTGCTGCATTCAGTGTGGCTGGGTTTTCTGGTAACTGTCGCTGGGAATGTGGCTACACCCCAAACCCTACATGAGGGGCTTCAGGCTCTCAGGACCAACTGGCCCATGCCCAGCTGTGCCAAGCAGTAGGGGCCCCACCAGAAGTCCCACCACAGACCCCCAGCATCACCCACCTCCGATGGCCTCGCTTCTGTGTGGAGCCGCCTGTGTGCAGTCCCAGGAGGGTCGTCCATGCTACATGGGGCTGAGACCAAGGGAGAAGCCGGTTTGCATCCAGAGCCAGGCCAGGGCCTGCCAGGGAGGAGGGACCGGAAGCAGGCGCCTCAGGGAGCTCTCCGGACTCAGCTGTCATGGTGGCTCTTCCGACAGCGCAGAGTTCAGGGCAGCCTCGTGTGTGGGGTGGCCGGAGAGCACAAGGCCACCAGAGGGCTCTGAGTCAGTACTCTGCCTCATGTGCCCCTGCCCTGTGCGCCAATGGCACCGGGACCTGTGGTCTCATCTCGGAGTGGCCCGGCCCAGCAGGGGTCCGTGAGCCTTGGCAGCCGCCAAGGGAGGGGTCTCAGGGGACCCTGTGCAGTGCTCTGCCATCAGACTCATGAGGTGCAGGGGTGCCCTGTGTCCCCAGGCCCACTGCTACCCAGAGGCCCCTCAGGGCTCCTGATCATAGGTGTGACATTACCCTCTGAGTACGCCCTGAATAACAGGGCTGCAAGGGCCTGGCCCTGTGCATCTGGCCCCGCTTCCTGTCAGGAGCCTCTGACAGCAGATGGCACACCTGCGTCCCACTGCGTGAGGCAGGACAGTGTCAGGGACCCCTCTCCATACAGCAGCTCGTCACCCACCCACAGTACATAAATAAAGACATAAGTGGTAGTTGCTGTCCGGATTTCAGGGAGCAGAGGCAGAACTGGGGGATCCAGGAGGGCTCAGGGCCAGCACACTTGAAAGGAAACCCAAGGTGGCGCCCGGCAGCACGTCCCCAAAGGAGCCAAGGAGCCCTGAAGCTCTGGGGTCAGCTGTCACCACCAGGCCAGCGACAGATGAGGACCCAGAGCTACCAGAGGCAGTTGTCATGCGACCTGAGAGGCAGTCTGGTGCCAGTGCTGGGAACGTGGTGGGGACGACCCTGTCCCACGGAGGCTGTGAGGCGGGCAGGGTGGTGTGGGGAGACGGCTGTGATGAGCATGTAGGGAGGTGTGGCAGACGGCATGGCCCAGTGGACCCCTCGGCATGGCAGCCTGACAGAGCCGGAGCTGTGTGGGCACTGGCAAGGCCGGGATGGCAGGTCCGCTGGTATCCATGGGAGCCAGACAGGGAGCAGGTGCACGTGACACTCACACGCCAGGCCTTCGGGACCCCGGGACACTGAGCACAGCTCTCCACGCGGGACCCCAGGTGCCTCCTGAGAGCTCCACGCATGTAGCACTGCGGCAGCCCAGGTCCAGCTCCACAGTCCTGTGACTTCCTGCAGTGATGAGGGAGCCCTTGGCTGGCTCAGAAGGCTACGAAACCGCTGCCTAAAGAGGCCTCAGAGATGGGTGCGGACGGAGGTCTGACACGCGCCTGCCGCTCTCCGGCTGGGCCTCGGGCACACAGCCTGGTGCCTGTCTCTGGGTCCTTCCCCGGAGCTGGACTGCCCCTGCCCGCGGCTGGCTGCCTCCAGGTGGCCGGCGTCGTCACTGCCTGCACTGTGGGGCCCGGGCAGAGGGCCTGAGAACTGTGTCCCGGCAGGTGGAGTTTGAGGACGGGTCCCAGCTCACTGTGAAGCGTGGGGACATCTTCACCCTGGAGGAGGAGCTGCCCAAGAGGGTGCGGTCCCGGCTGGTGAGTGCCCCCTTCCTGGTGGGAATGGGATCCTCAGGCGGTGTCACCATCCCCTCCTGGTCAGCCGTCCAGCTGGGAGGCCTGTCCGCTCCCTCCCTCCCGGCTCGTGTGTGCCGGACAGCAGCGTGGGACGGTGGGGTGGGACAAGGATCCCCCAGTGGCCACCGCGGCCCGGCAGCAGCAGCCCACAGGCAGACTGTAGTCGCGCCTGCCAGGCTGCTGCCTGAGGGCTGAGCGTGGCCTCTTGGCGGGCAGAGTGGGGTTGGGTTGCTCTCGAGGGGCCGAGCCTGCGCTGACCGCCTGCCCCTCGGTCTCTGCAGTCACTGAGCACAGGGGCGCCGCAGGAAGCCAGCTTCGAGGGTGAGGAGGTAAAGGCTGCCAAGCGCCCGCGAGTGGGCGCCCCGCTCCCTACCACCTCCCCTGCCGCCGAGGACTCAGGGCGCGGCCCGGACTACCTGGCCTTCGGGGAGAGCCTCCTGCAGGGGCAGGCCCAGGCCCGGCCCGGGGTCCCCTTCTAGGATGTGGCTGCCGGCCACCCTCAGCCCCACAGGGCAGGTGCCCCCAGGGTCTCCTGGGGCGAGGCCACCTCCGTACCGCGGGCGCCCCCTGCCTGAGGGCAGGAGCAAGGGACGGTGCGGCCCGGACTCAGGGAGCAGGGCCCCAGGCCCGCCGCCCACGCCCCTCAGATTCAGGCCCTCGGCCCTGTTCTCCTCCTAAAGGTGCTACCGCCCCGCCCCACCGAGCAGCCTGCAGACGGGACTGTGCACACCGCCTTTGTGAGGCTCTTTCTATAGAAGTATTGTTTAAAAATTAAGAAAAACGGGAAACAACAGGCAGAAGCCCCCACAGTTGTTTTTTCTAGATTTGTGGCTTTAAAACCAATGCATTCTTTTCCACAGCGCCGAGGCGCCAGGGATGAGGTCCCCACGACACTGTTCATGTTTGTTTAAAATCCCACCATCTGCCGAGCAGGCCGAGGGGAGGCTTGGCCCCCGTGTCTTAGTGACCCGGGTGGGGAGCCTGGAGGGGCCAGAGTGGCGGGCGCCCGTCTGGCCATCACCCAGTCCCGCCCGCCTGGCTGTCCTGGAGCCCTCCACTGCCCACCCTCCGTGGCGGCTGCCCCCAGGGTCCCAGAGCTGCCTCTGGCCTGCTCAGATCTTTGCAAATAAACAGTCACCCCTGGATTTCTGTTCATGCTGAGTCATTCCCCGGGGGCAGGTGTGTGTGTGTGTGTGTGAGTGTGTGTGTGT